GTGGCTCCAGCCCTGAGAGCTGGAAAGTGTGGGAGACTGGCCCTCCCCCCAACCACAGCCAGCTCTCCTCTTCCTTGCACATCGTCACGGCTTCTTCCCCGGGTTGTCTGTCACCTTTTTATGCATCCTGTCCCATTTCAGTCTCCGTGAGCCTCCTCCCTACAACCCACTGACCTCCCACCTCACAAGACAGCTTCGATGTCTCCCACACTCCCATACCCCTGCCTTCCTGCCTGTGACCTTCAGGGTTGGATGCTGAACGCTTGCGCTGCGCATCCAGGTCCTTGGTGTGCCAAGCTCCTCAAAGCTGAGTGGCTGCCCAGAAAGAAGCTGTGTTCTGCACAAAAGCCTGCTCTCTGCTGCAGCTGTACCGTGCCCAGGGCGCTGGATGGGCATCCCCATGCCACCCCCTCACAGAAGTGGGAGCTTGCCCTACTCATCTCACTGCACCTCACAGGACACAGGCTGGCCCTTTCTGTGCCCAAGCACCCCCCCACCCACCCCCACTGGCCTCCAAGTTTCTCACAGATGAAGCTGGGAAAGCCTGGGTATGGAGAGCTGAGGGGAAGCAACCAAGCTCAGGCACTCTGTTCCTTCACCAGGCCAATGCCACCGGGGGTGGCGGGCATGTGCAGATGGTGCAGAGGGCTGTCCAGGACCTGACCTATTCCTCCCTGTGCTTCCCGGAGGCCATCAAGGCCCGGGGCATGGACAGCACTGAGGACATCCCCTACTACTTCTATCGTGATGATGGGCTGCTGGTGTGGGAGGCCATCCTGTCGTGAGTGTGACCAGGTTCTGTGGGAAAGGGAAACCCTGATGAGGAGTGTGGTGAGGCAGGCCTGCTTCTGGTTTGGGTGTTGATGGAGGGAGGGGGTAGAGGACTTTAGGGAGTGACAGGATTGCCAGAGGGACCCGCTGGATACCCACTCCTGCTGGCCCTCCTGAGCCAGGTTCACAACTGAGGTGGTGAACATCTACTACGACAATGACCAAGTGGTGGAGGAGGACCAGGAACTGCAGGACTTTGTGAAGGATGTTTACGTGTACGGCATGCGCGGCAGAAAAGCCTCAGGTAGGGCGCCACAGTTCTCTGCTTCTGCTGCAGAGCCCGTGTGTCTCAAAGGCATGAGGAAGAGGAGGCAGGAGACCCTGCCTCCAAGGGCACCCAACCCCCGCTCCAGGGGACCCAGCCCATCAAATGCCTCCCTCAGAGCAGCCGCCCCCTCCCTCTCCGAGTGTCTTGGCTGGGCAGATCTTGGAAAGTGTGGGTGGGGGAGCCAGAACAGAGGCAGAGCCAGCTGTCCCTCACAGGGATGGGCTCATGGTCTGTGGTTCCATCTCAGGCTTCCCCAAGTCCATCAAGAGCAGGGAGAAGTTGTCTGAGTACCTGACTGTGGTGATCTTCACAGCCTCGGCCCAGCATGCAGCTGTAAACTTCGGCCAGGTAGGCCTAGCTAGCCCTCTCTGGGGTACCACTGTCTCAGGTACCCCACAGTCAGAGCCACTCCTCATATCATCGGACTCCCCCACCTCGGGCTCCTGCCCTGCTGGCCCACCCATCCCCATGCAGTCTCTGAGCTTGGAACCAGCAGTAGCACAAATGGATTCTGCATGCATGCCTGAAGGCACCCACCGGGCTGGGACAGTTACAAGCCCTGGAAAGGGGGAGGGGGGAGGTCTGAGGAGAGAGAGGCAAGGACATCCCTGAGGGAGGCCTGGGGGCCCTGGAAGGAAGGCGGGGGCGGGGGGGGGCGGTGCAGCAAGTGAGAGGGGCAGAGGAGGTGGTATGGGGGCATGTGGAGGATGTGGCTTGAGGAACCAGGAGAGGAGAGGGTCAAGGAAGGTGAGGTGCTGCCCACAGGGAGGGGTGGAGCCTGCTAAGCCGGTTCCCTGCGAATCCAGAAAAATGTAAGCATGTGGGGCAGAGGTGGGCAGGCACTGGGTTTCTTGGGCACCCACGCTGTTGGCGCTGCTCTCTCACAGTATGACTGGTGCTCCTGGATCCCCAATGCTCCTCCAACTATGCGGGCCCCACCGCCCACGGCCAAGGGTGTGGTGACCATCGAGCAGATCGTGGATACTCTACCAGACCGCGGTCGCTCATGCTGGCATCTAGGCGCAGTGTGGGCCCTGAGCCAGTTCCAAGAAAATGAGGTGAGCATTGCTGCAGGTGCTGCAGGTCACTGCAGTTTCAACCAATCCTCCAGCCCAGGGCTTGGGGGCTCAGGCTCTAGCTGGACACCTACAGCCAAGACTCTTGACCTCTAAGGTGGAGCTGCTAGAGGGGGGGCGGGGACCTCACCCCAGGTCCTCAGCCTGGGTCTGAGCCCAGGGTGGGCTGGCAGTGGAGGGCACAGGCTCTGCTCCAAGTCATCAGAGAGGGGTGTGTGATACCACGCCCTAACTCCCTCGCAGTTTTTGATAAATCTCTTCCATGTGGTTTCCTGGCTCCCTACGGGGAAAGTCAGAGCGCCCTGTGTCCCTTCCAGGTACTCATAGCTATGCTAACCAAGCGAAAGTCTCGGCTGACGCAGCCCTGTGCCATGTTCAGTGCTGTTCCATTGGCTGAGTCTCTTCAGCCTGCCCCCGGCCTGCTAATGTGCTGCTTCTGGGCTCAGTAGGACCAGAGGAGCTGTTCCTAGGAGACTGACTTCTTGGTCAAAGGATGTCAAGTCTGACTTACCTTCTGCAAACTAAACCCCAGATCTCCCACTCCTTTCCAGCCACCGAACACTTTACAGACACTGGTGTCGGCAATCAACTAGCATAGTCCCCCCACCACCACTTCCTGATGCCCAGGGCCTCGGCCCATCTCAAGCCTTAAAAGGAAGATGGGAAAGACAAAGGACAGGCCAGCAGGACCCTCAAGCCACAGAACTTCCAGAGTTCAGACCTTCCAGGTTCCCCTGTACTTTTCCTTGTCTTAAAAGCCACCTGGCTACAAGGAAGGAACTGCCTTTTAAAATCCAGCCCTGAGCCATTCCTAGGGAAGAGGAGGTGGTGTTTGTAGAACCTATTGCTTTTTTTTACTGACACCGCGTATATTTATGATAGTGTGATGTGTGTATACATCGATACTGCTCAGTTATAGCATCTGTCATTTCCTTGTGTAACATTCAGAATCTTCTGATTTAGAAATGCATACTACATGATTAACTATTTACCCTACTACGCTGTACAGCGTTACTCGACCCTCCTTTGAATTCACTAATTTGCCATTTTTCCTCCTCTCTGATAACTTCCTTGGGATTATGAAGCAAGTGTTTCTTTTTTAAACAAGGTTTCACTCTGTAGCCCTGCTGGCCTGGACCTCACACCATCTGCCTGCCTTTGCCTCCCAAGTGGTGAGACTGAAGGTGTGTGCCGCTGCCCCTGGTGAGATGGCAGTTTCTAATATCCCAAATGTGGCGGTCTGCATCTGCTTCTTTCACTTAACACAATGACCTCCAGGTTAATTTGTGTTCCAAAGACAGGATTTCATTTTGTATGGCCAAGTAGTACCCACTGTGTGTATATATGCGTCAATCCCAGCAGGTGGTAAAGGTCAAAGGTGATGAGAGTTGAGTAGATACCCCTTCTCCCAAAGGAAGCCTCGTTGGGTGGGACAAGGCCTAGCAGTCTATATGGCACCATCTTAAACTGTCTTTGCATGTCTGCCCTTCAGCTGTTTCTGGGCATGTACCCAGAGGAGCACTTCATTGAGAAGCCAGTGAAAGAAGCCATGATCCGATTCCGCAAGAACCTGGAGGCCATCACCAGTGTGATCGCTGAGCGCAATAAGAACAAAAAGCTCCCCTACTACTACCTGTCACCAGACAGGATCCCCAACAGTGTAGCCATCTAAGCCTGGCCTTCCCTGGCCCAGCATCTCTCCGGAAAGGCCAGTGGCTTTGCCAGACAGACCCCAGATTGCCTGGCAGGCTCTAGGTGGACCTTCGGGCAGCTGGTGCCTCTTCCTTCCAAGTTAGCAGTGCTGCTCCTGGGGCCAGCTGTTCGAGGATGGGGGGACATCACAAAGCTTCAGCACATGCTGCTTCTTCCTGTCTTTGGTGGAAGTATGTACACAGGGACCCCCGCCCAGCTCAGCACGTCCACCCTAAGTAGCACAGTGCAGCAGAGTAAGCAACACCTGTTCTGGTTGGGTCAGGGTTACCTTATTCTATGTATGCTTTGTCCAGTTGCTTGCGTGTAGAAGGTGCCTAAAGAAACTTCTTGAATGAAGAGTTTGTTATACAATAAAGTTCATTTAAAGCAGATGTCACTCCACATGCCATGTTTCAGCCACCCCCAAAATTCCCTGTTCTCCGAGCACCAATAAAAACCCAAAGTCTACTACCTCCCCCAGCTCCCGAGATCTTCCCCACCTCCACACCAACGGCCCCTTTCTAGTTTTGTGGACTCTATGGGTATTCCATATTAAACACACAAATCTAAAGATTTGAATTTATGCTAAGATCCATATATGACTGAGAATATGTGGCATCTGTCTTTCTGTGTCTGGGTCATATCGTTCAGTATAGTGCTTCCCAGTTCTATCCATTTACCTGCATATTTATGTTTCTTTGTAGATGAACAAAACTCCATTATACATTTTTGGTATCCATTTACCAGCTAAAGGACATCTTGGCTGTTGCCTAGATTCTGCTGTTACCACCACGAATGAATAGCCTTCCCCTAAAGAAAGGGAGCCCTGGAAGGACAGGGCAGCCACCTCATCTATTCCTGTGCCCTGGGCTAGCACAGGCATCCATGTCTGCATCCCCCCTTCTCCTTCCAGCAGGGCTTCTGGCTGATGCTTGTCCTTGAGGCAGGTTTGTTGTGACGAAAGGAAGTAACCCAGACACCAAAGCAAATGCCACCCGGATCTTAGCATCTATTCAAATCGCCTTCTCCTCTCACCTTGGACGCCCCTCTCCCCACGGCCTCACTGTTCTTCACTGATGTGTGGACTGGAAAGGGCATCCTTGCTTCCCCAATGGAAAACACTCATCACCAAGTTCCTTTGTAAAGAAAAGCTTTATTGCTACCTTTAGACACCCCATGTACAGCACAAACGAATCCCCTGTACAGAGAATCATTCAAGCGGTAATACTGAGAAACAGTGAACACACACAAAAGGATTAAAAAATTAGACATTTAGATTACTAGAAATTGTCCAAGAAAAATTTAAAATGTGAAGTGCTTTTTAGAAACTACACTACACACACCAGTGTAAATTTGGTTTTTATTAACAATCAACTTTAAACATTGCATCTAAATGTGCACCAGTTACACACCTTCATCAATCACTTCCACACAAAGACAAATGCCCCATCTCCCTATGCTTTGGGCTTTTCCTGGGCTACAGATACAAGCTGTATTATTTCAAACCAGATTTGATGGGGTGGCATTTCAAATATGCATGTGCATCTAACCACACCCACAAGATTAGAGCTCTTCACCCTGCCCATCCAGTCTTTGGCCTCCCGTCTTTTAGACACCACCCAAGGCCTTGAACTGTTCCCTCCCCCACTGCCTGAGGTCTGCACATCTGGGTCCAGGTGGAGACACCCACAGGTTTGGAAACTAGGCCTACATGACTAAAGAGTGTGCTAAAGCCAGAAAGGAGAAAGAGAGAGACCTGGAGTAAGGAGAAAACTTTACAACATTTCCAGGAAATTCTTGCAATAAACTTGGGCATAACCCCACCTATTTATTTGTGGCAGCTGAAGTCAAAGGTGTGCCAATGGGTCCATGATATATGGGGCAAAGGCCAGGTTAGGGCTGACTGTGACACCCTGAGACTATTTCCTTCTTCTGTATTTGACACACAAGCTTTTAAGCCCTCCTGGCCCTGAGGCGTCACCCTAGATCTGCTTGGTTCAGTCATACGCCATCTTCCCACTACATCCAGGCTCAAACTGAGGAGAAATGGAAGAGACAGATAACCCTGCAAAAGTATTCAGAAGGCCACCAGGCAAGGCCTAGGCAGACCCAGAGCCCTGCCATCATGCTTCACAGCACATGCCTTGCCGGTCTCCTGCGCTGAGTCACCAACAGGTACAGCTGTTTGCTAGATCAGAGGACCTGTACGGAAAATGAGCAAGGGGTATCTGGGAGGGGAAGAAGGATGAACGACAGATTTCATCCGAGTAGCCAGAGAAGAGATGGAGTTAGGCCTTCCTGAGGTGGAGAGAACAACATGAAAGCCATGGTCACCTTATCTGTGGGGTACAAGGCCCCTGGGACAGCTGTGCAGGACTACCCCCAATGAGGTACACTCCCCTCTCTACAGAAGCCTCAGCGGCTGGTTGGGACTTCATACTTAAAACAATCTCCATTTTCACGTGACTGCCCACCCACTGTTGGAGCATCTCACCAGGGACAGATGGACAAGACCGGGGACTCAGCTGTAGCAGCTGCAAACGGTATAGTCAGGACTCCCTGATGGACAGACCGTCTATAGTACCGGTGTCCCCAGCCTGAGGAGGTGTGTGAGTAATTGCACTTTGGGGCACAGTGAGCCCAGGGAGGCTTATGTGGTCAGGGAGAAAGAGCAGGCTAACCTAAGGGGTGGCTGACTGGATAATGGCTAAAATCCCTGGCGAAACAGCTCCACGACTGAACCCCACGACCCTAGAGAGCAGACAAGGTGCTAACAGGACAAAACCCACTCCCACAGCCTCCCAGCCTCCACTTGCCTCTGCAAATCAAACACAGGGCTTCTACTAGGAACCACAGAAGATTCATCTTCAGTTTCTTCAGTCTCTGAAGAAGAGAGGTAAAGCAGCAAAGCTCAGGACCCCAGGCACTGCCCTTCCCCCCTCAGGAGGCTCTGAAGCCCCTGTTACCAACAGCAGCTCTTGGGAGAGTACACTTCTGGGGTCCCTCTTGTCACATTGTGAGTTGACTATTGCCTGGCACTGTGACAATGGCCTTCAAGAAAAAAAAAAATGTTCAGCAGACTTTTTAATGGGACAAAGGCCATTTAGTGGTGGTGATTTGGCTTTGTCTGTCTTGAGAAAAAACGGTGTAGGAGGTAACCCCAAAGACAGAATGGATCACATGTGGAGCTAAGGACCCTAAATGATGTCAGGTCTAGTTAAGGCAATGAGTGGATGTGGGCCAGCTCAGTGACGCAGTGGCCCATGGCAGTTGACTGCTCATGCCAAGGCCTCATCCCAGAGCTGGCCTGTTGACCTCCCAGCCCTCAGCACAGTGGGAAGCAGAGGTGGGTCACAGGGGTATCCACAGTGTGTGTCCACTCCATCTGGAGACTTCTGTCAGTCAAAGGAACATTTCCTAACTACTCAGCCTGAGTCAGATCCATTAGCTCTCAAAACCCTCCCGTTTCAATATGGACACAACAGAAATGGTATGGGTGGGCTTGTGAGGTAACAGGCTCAAAGACACAGAGTACGTCCTTAGCATCCACGGACTCCCATGGACTCTGGTAAGGAAAAATGTCTCAGACCTGTCTGTCTTGCCTGAAGTCACCAGTCTTTTTTGGACATGGAAAGGACATCCTACTATTCAGAATATATAAGGCAGAAATGGTTTCAAATCTATTTTGATGCAAAGAGAAAACGGGGCATTAAAGAGAACATGCCTAAATGTGACACTCTTTTCAGTGCCACACCCACTAGACACAGGAATTCCACAATAAAAACTTTCATAAAGTGCTGTTTGCTCAGTGAGTCACACCCCAGCGGACACAGGGCCCCGAGGCCTTATCTGCCTGCCCCAGAGCGATGTGGCAGCATCAGCTGAGGAGGCAGGGGTCTGTGTGTGCGGGCACTGTTCCCTGCTCGCCTCCTAGCTCGTCAGAGAGAAGGGAGCCCTCCCACCAGCAGTAGCCTCTCTGTACCATGCTCTGTCCTCTGGGGAGCCTCTCCCCACCAGTCTCCCCCATGCTGCTGTCCCTGGTCTAGCTTTTGACTTCCTTATTCTGCTCAAGACCAGGGGCTGGAACTCAGCCAGCTCCTCATCGTGGTTACTGGGGTCTCCCTTTCCCAGCCCACAGAGGACCTGGCGGAATGGGACCCAGCGGCAGTTGCTCCACAGGAATTCTAGGATATCCACACCAAGGAGGGTTGAGGAAAAGAGAGGCCACTCTAATAGTCGCCTGCCCAGTCTCTGCTATTCAACAACAGAAGGAAGGAACACAGTTGGCAGTCAACAAACTCCTTCAGCTCTTTGTGGACAGGGGGATGACACCCTCCACACCATCAGACGTTAATAATCTCTGCTCCAGTGTCTTCAGGCTCTGTGCAAGAAGAATTTGTGGTGGAATGACACATTCCATGTCCTTCTTTATTTTCAAGGGTGGGCTCGGTTAGTGCAGACTTTTCAAAAATATTCTTTTTACTTGTTTCTGGACAGTTTTGAACATAGATCACTCTGTTATAAGCCTTGAGTCTTTTCCATAACTGTAGGTACACCTTGCACTGAACATACATAAAAAGAAGTCCTCCAGTGAAGCCAATGGCCACAACTACCAGTTTAGTCCAGAAAGGCCACTCTAGGATCCCTGCAAGGGGGAAAGGGAGAGGACTCAGTTAGCCTATCAGGAGACTCGTTTATGTTTGTAACTAGGACACAGTTTCTGAACTCCACCACCAGTACGTAGATTGTTACTCATCAAATCCTCCCTCCCCAAAAGCAGGGCTCTCAGTGTGGTTTACCCTGCTCTCTCAGGGGTCTCAAGTTCCATCTCTTGTCATTGACTTTGAAGACACAGAAATATCCAAAGAGATGCTTAGTGTCTCCTCCTCGGTATTCACCCTTTACAAACCCAGGTGTTGGTGGCCCAAGAGAAATAGAGCTCTGAACCTCAGAACCTCAGGCCCTGGGACCTGTGTCCACAGCCCAGGCACTCACCTGTCACCTGACCCTGCTTGATTTCCTCTGCGGTTCGGTCAATGAGCACATACAAGGACCAGACCACACAGGTGATAGCAATGACATGGAACGTCACTGAGCACATGATCTTCCTGCGCTCACTGGCAGTCATCTGCAACTTCTCCCACTGAAAAAGACAGCACAGAGAGCATGAGGCTCAGACTCGGAGCAAAGGACCACAGTGGGAGTGACTGGTGCCCATGGCTGTGATCGGCTTTCCTTCCCTCCCACTCCCAGGCCAGATCAATTTGCCCAAACACCCGAAACTACTTTAAACCACTTGGCTTCAACAAGGTAGCAAACACAGGCAACTTTCTGTGCAATGGAGAAGGTAGGACTGAGATGAGCAGTGATCTCCCATTAGCTAGTCTCTTATTCCTGTAAGCAGATGATGAAGAGCTCGACAAAGGAGTATGTGAGGTGAGACCCAGCTGCTGTGTGTTAACTGACATGGAGGAATGGAAGAAGACTGATGACCCCACAACACACTAGGAATGAGTCACAGCTACGTTGTAAGATGAATAGCAGAAGGGTCTCACTCTTTGGTCCTCTGCTACTTTGGCAGCAACAGCTTGGAATCGATGCTCAAGAGTTCCTGGTACAAGCAGCCTCTGCCAGTGCCATCCCTCTAGGAGCTCATTAACCTACTCCAAACAGATTGGCCTTGTCATTTACTGGTTCCCAAAGCAAAAGAAAAGACATAAAAGTAGAGAGAAAGAACAAAGTGTAAACATTCTACATATCTTCTGCTAATGATGGCCACAGACTATCATGCTAACCCGAAAACAGAGCTTCATTGACGATCTATACTATCCAAGTGTTGCAGGATCATGTGACAGATTCACACAGAGTAGGTCCCAGGAGACTTTGACCAGGCCGAACCTGTTCTTGGGCAGTTTACACCTGCCTTCTCTAATACCCAAGTGCTTTCTGTCGGGGTTTTAGCAGTAGCAAGATCCCTGGGTTTCCCAACTGAAGCACAGTCAGCATCTTGGTGTCTTCTGTGCCTGGATTCTCCCTTTCCTAAAACGCCCACAGCTCAGCCCGTTCACACCCCTAAAGTGCTCCCACTCACCGCCTCAGTGGATACTTTTCTCCATAGGCAATCTGACCCTATAGAGCCCTTTCACTTTGCCTGCAAATCTTACACATCTAGAACTTCCCCCAAAGCCAAACTATTTACAATGCCCTTCCTCCCATGAGATTGATCCACGAAGATCACTTCTTTGTCTGTGTGCTCCACTGCCAAGTAACTTATATAGTAATGCTTTTGGCACAGTAGGACTCTTGTTCTCCTTCCAAATGCGATCTTTTGTGCTGGGCACAGAAAGAGATATATGAAACTGACAAGGATGAACAGGCAGCTGGTGCCAGGAAGGTAGCAGTGACTTGGGCACCTCCTCATCCATGAACGTTTTCATCCGACAAATAATTAACAAACACAAACAAACTGACTGTGCTAAACTAGGTTGAGTGTTAGGGAGTGCGTCCTAACTAGAAACACAAAACAGACAGTTAGTACATAGGAAGTGAAATGCTGAGCAAGCTGTCACAAGATAGTTGTTGGTCAAAGGAGAGAAGATGTGAAGGAAAGAGAAGCATTATGAATGAAGGTCAGACCTGATACATCACTACTAAAAACAATGGTCTACAACATGAACTCCAGTCCCCAGATTTTTAAGGCAGTAAACCCAGGTGGCCAGGGTGTAGAGTCTGAAAGGATGACTCTCCCAGAGCGCCCCCTTATTACGTACTTTCCTCAACGGTTTCAGCTTGGTCTCCATGATGAACTCGTACTTGCAGAGTTCACAGCAGCGTGTATCCGAACTCTTGATCCACTGCTGCAGGCAAGCCTGATGCACAAAATGGAGGCTTCCTGTACAGTGGCAGGGGGTGATCAGAGGGTTCTCATCATCGCCTTCACAGTGGCAGATCCTATGGTGGAAACAGACTAGTCAGTGAAAGAAGGGCCAGGCAGGGAAGGTGATGCTCTACCAGAAAGCCAACTCCTCCGCAAACTAAAAGAGTTTAGAGATGAACACCATAAAAGTGACTGTCAGCACAGAGACACACAAGCACAAATGAGACCAATCACGATTGGCTGAATGTCAGCTTACCATATCAGCAACATCAGGATGGCATTTGGCAACAGAAAGGGAAGAACAACACAAGAAATGACAAAAGAGGCATTTTTAGGGAAGACTTCAAACTTTAAAAGGTAAGATCTAGGCAACAATAAAGACACCTTCCAGAACACAAGACACTGGAGGAAGAACAAAACCCAAGTCAGCTCTCACCTCCACAACAGCACGGTGGCTTAAAAGGCTTGCTTTCTATGAAGTCACACCCTCACCATCACATGCACAACAGCCACACTCTCACCCTCTCTTGGAGATGGAGCAGAGACCACAGTATGTTATCTCCACTTAAAGCTCCAAATGGTTCTGTAACTCCATTTATCTTGGGGACTACTCATGGCATTAAGTGAGAATTATTAAAGCAGCCATTATTTCCAAGGAAAAAACTTGGATTCAACTACTAACCTCCGTGAACTCGGGCTTTTGAGAACAGAGATCGTTCCAACAGCTGGGTAACAGGTAGAAACAGCTGTTCTGAGAGGGCGTGGCCCAAACCTGGCTAGACTGTTTTGTTACTCGTCTGAGAAATGGGTTTTCTGATCCAACCATAAGAAATGTAACAGCTGACACTGAGAAGGGGAGACCAAGGGAGGGAGAGGAATGGGGACGGATGAGCTCGAATTGGGTCTGGCAAGGACAGTGTGCAAGGAAGAGAGGTGGGAAGTAGAGTTAGGACCCAGGCAAGGGTAGGACACACTTAAGGTAAGAGCAAGGAAAGGAGGGAGTGTGGGAGGAAGAGAGGGAGGGAGGGAGAGAGGGTGGTGTGTGGGCAGGCGACTGGAGACAAGCCATTCACGGGGGCAAGCTAGAAAGCTGGAGGTACTAATCCCCTCTTCCCACATATTTAGGCAAAGCCTACTTATTTTGCTGAGAGCAGTTGGTTTAATACGTGTAGTTTCTGCATCTTATGAAATTAGCTTCCCAATGGTATCACTGCCTGGAAAACAAAATTGCTCTCCAGCTGGCAATAGATGTCTTACTGCTTCACTTTGCAGAAACTTCATGTATTAAATCAAGGTAAGGTTATGAAGGTGTTAGCAGAGAGAGCCAGACTGTGGCTCCTGGCAAACCAACCTGCAGGCATCCCCTGAGGTGGACACAGGAGAGATAGGGGTGCATTTTTCAGAGAGCGGAGAAGGACAATCCAGGTCACTGTCCTTCTCTACTGAGCAGAGTGGCGCACGCAGGACCCTGCTCTTCAGTTTGGCAGATGATGTATCCTCAAAGACATCGTCATCTCCCATTTCATCAGAACAGAAGTCTGTGCTCCCTGCCAGCCAGCTGGAGGACTTGGCAGTATGTAGATGGCTGGCATGGCTCTCCAGCTCATGGAACCTATGCAGGCTGCTGGCACTTGAGCCACGGGAGAGTGAGAACAGGTACCGGAGCAGTCGCTGGCTTCTCAACCTGGTCTCACCATCAACTTTCTCCTCCAAAAGTGGGATGCGTAAGCTCCCCTTGCCAACTTCCCTCTTTGAGGCAGCTGAATGGTTGGTAGAGAGGGGTAAGACACAAGAGTGTTTGGAATGGTCGAGGGGTGGGCAGTGTTCTGCTCTTTTTTCTTTCTGATGGAGCCTGTTCTTTTTGAGAGATGGACCTTGAGGAAGTACCAGTTTCCCTTCAGAACAAGTTCTTTCCATATAGTCAAAGCTTTCCAAAGTATCCTGGGTCTTCTCACCCACATCACTTAGTGACTTTGAGAATCTGAGTGCTCTTCTGGCCTTAGTATTCTTAGCAGGCCTCAACGCTTGGTCCCAGTCTGAACCAAAGGGATTTCTCTTGGATGCCTGTAATGTGTCTTTACAGATAACTGTCACAGTGAGCCCTTGTGTCAGAGAACTCTGGCATGGAGGAGCTTTCAAGACAACAGCAGACTGCATGGGACTGTAGTAACAACACTCAGAAAACACTGCACTGGAACTGTATGCACAACAGTGGAATAAAGCACAGAAAGGAAAAACAAGTTTAAAGAGAGTAGACGTCCAAGTGGGGAAATGAGACTGGGTTCTAACTTGGTGAGCAAACAGCACATAAAACTGGGCTGTTTAGACCAAAGGTGGAATGATCAAGCAAATGGAAAACTGAGAATTCTGGCCGACCCAGGCCACGGAAGCATGTGAAGCAGAGGGTTACCTGCAGATGTCCTGGTTGGATGGTGTAACAGAAGCGCGAGAGAAGGAAGACACTGGAGCCGTCGTGGATGGAGGACTACTCCCAGCCTGCAAAGACACACCTTCAGTCAGTATTTATGAAGAAGCCGAGAGACCCAGACACACTGTCTCCTTGTGAATGGCAGAGGGCGGAAAATCAAATAATGTCTGCTATTTCCCACTGCTCTGAGAGGAGGATGCATTAGGTTCTTTGTTGTGTTTTGTTGAGACAGGGCCTCATTTTATAGCTTTGGCTGGCCTGAAACTCACTATATAGGCCAAGCTGCCCTGAACTCAGAGATCAGCCTGCCTCTGCCTCTGCCTCTGCCTCCAGAGGGCTGGGATTAAAGATGTGTACCACTATGCCTGGCTGGAACATGCATCAGAGATCCATACAAGTCTGAACTTCATCTGTGAAGAAAAATATAGCTAAGAGATAGTTTAAGACCACAGAATATCACTTCTAAGCTCTGAAGATCCAGCAGCTTCTCCCCACCCCCACAAACATATTTATAAATTTAATTACTTCCTGTGCAAGTCGGGAAACCAAGTCCTACAAGACACTCTTCCAATGTGAAGGACAACAGGCCAGCTGTCTTGCCTGCCACCACTTGTCTTCACCTGGTCCCTGATAACTATAGTGTGCAGACCACGACTGTTTATTATTGTGTCCAGTTTATGAGCTGTAGTTCTGTGGAGCCAGCAGCACAGAGTTTGCACCAACATTGACACAAACACGAGTTAACGCGCTTCACGACAGCAGTCAGGCAGCTACAGTGTTACTAGAAGAATGTTCCAGCTGTATTATGATCTTATGGGACCACTGCCATAACTTATTCAGTCC